ATATAAAAATAAATGTACATCTTTTCTGTACACCTTATTCTGTAAAATGAAGTTTTGACATCGATACCCACAGTGTCCGTGAAAGGCTCATATCGGCCCGGTGGTTCAGCTCCATATTTAGCTCCATAATTAGCAGAGTGGGAAAAACATACAATGAATGAATTTGATGAAATAAACAATTTCAGTGAAGCACATATTCAAAATACAAAACAGTTAAGAAGCTGGAAGCAGAAGTTGGGAACTGTAATGAATGATGAGCAGTGCTCCTGTAGCGGTGAGGTGTAAACACTCGCATCCCTATTCACAAACCAAACACTTGTAATCTTTGATCAGTGAGAGCTACGCTTTGATGTAACTGTAAATGACCAACTCGGATAAGTTAATATGTATGACACATACGAATATACACACTGTTTCATAAATTATTAACACCTCCTCCCTCTACAGATCCCACCTCAAACAGAAAAGTACACACACTCACTAATAGACAGAGTAACACGTGTTTCTCTACATTAAGTAGACCACAGAAAGGCTGCTGAGCTGAACCAAGGCCACCCTAGACAGCGCACACTGTTGAGGGAATGGAGGGATTCCCCTGTGAGTCTCCCCATTCACAAAAAAAAGCCAAATCCCAGTCTATTAGATTAGATCAGATTAAATCAGATGACAGAAAGTGAGAATCCGTGGATTACCACAGAGCAACAGATTACTGCCCAGCTTAAAGGCAACAACACACCAGCCGGCACGGAGCAGAGGGGAAGATAGAAGAGGTGGAAAAAAAAAACGAGATCAGTGAGGTGATTGATATGTTTGTGTAAAACATCTGCAAAACCCACAAAAAAAATCCCAGTTTGTAAGGTTTAATTTTTAGTGTTCAAATCGCGTTCGGAGGAGGGACGCTGCGGAGTTGGCAGCGATTTATCTGTCTCGCAGCCGTGACAACCATCACCAAAGCCTGCCCATTAGTCATGCTGTAAAACGCAATAACAGACACGTCAACAGTTTGCAAAACATGTAATGATTGACGTGTTTCTTGCCTTTTTCTCAGAGATATCTATATAATTTCACCTTTACATTTTGACATTTAGAAAGTAATTAATAATCAGCTGTAGTCATGTGCTTTAAAATGTGTCTCTTTGATTTAGATGGTCTTTTTATTTCCGAGGCTCATGCATATTAATCACATCTCGCCCTCCAGTTCATTCACTCACGGCATCAGTTTCTGAAAGGACTTTGAGAAAGAAGGAGGAAAGCTTATGATTAAAGTTTTCCAAAACCTCCACAACTTTCCAAAGTATTTTGAGGCTTTATGAGCCAATTATCCAACATATATTTTACAGTTTTGTTGTGATTATTTTCTCACTTTTAGTCAAACTTGTGAAAACTGTTATGGTGAGTTGTATTCATTGTTGGTGACAGTTACCTTAATCGTTTTGGTCTGAAGTCTGAGTCCATTTAATGTGTTGATGGCTTTCTCTGCGTCCTTTGGATCAATGTAGTTGACGAAGCCGTAGCCCAGACTCTGTCCTGAAATGGCAGAAAAAGGGAACGTTAACTCGGTTTGATTATTTTGTTTCTTCAGACAAGTCAAGGCAGTTTATTTCATAAAGCACATTTCATACACAGAGGTGGCTTCAAGGTGCTGTACAGGGACGTTAAAAGCAACACAGAGGCAGAGTTAGAAGAAATCAATTTAAAACTTAGTAAAAGAGATTAAAAATATCTGAGTAAAAGAGGTAAAGAGATTAAAAAGGGTAAAAGACGGAAGGATTCATTTGTGTGAATATTTACAAATGTGTTATCTTACTAATACAAATAAAATAGATATGTAAAATATTATAATAAAATAAAATACAATGATGGTATGACAATGATGAAATTTAGTTAAAGGCACTTGTGAACTAAAAGCTGCTTTGATGGGACATTCCTATAATCAGGTAGCTGGTTCCAACAAGAAACTCTCAAAATCTGAAGAGACAGAGAGATGCCTCATTGTTCAAACCTCATTCCATATTTATGAAAGTTCAAAAGCTTTAGTTACATTTAGACTGATCAGTAATATGTCAGTGTGATTTGACCAGGGTTTGATCCCCGGTACCTCGTCCCTCCTGAATCTGCCGCATGTGGTCCCATCTGTGCACACACGCAGCCTCTTTAGATATCCTACATATTTCTCTTTACTAAATCTCTTCATCACTACTGGCAAGATCAGTGTGACTCCTGCCTTGAGCGCCAAGAGTTTTGGTGTGACTTTAGTCAACAAAGTGTAATATGAAGCCTGCTCATTTGGCACAATCCTGAATCACTGTATCCTACATGTGTCCTTTAAAGGACAAGTTTCTCTACTTTGTTCTGTTAATCTTAAAAAAAAAAAAAAAAAAAAAAAGGATCCGCAAATGACAGTACGAGAAAATCCCCAAAATTTGAGCCAAATAATATCAAATATGTCGGCAGTTAACATCTCGACTTGATACTGAATAGTTTTTACTGGCTGCTTGTTATATTGGTGATCTTGCAGCTTGAGGGACGTTAATTCTACTGATGTGTTTATTTTATGTTGCTCAAGATAGAACTGTCAACGAGTGAATGCCTAAAATATAATGTCATAAACCCCACAAGCCCCAGCAAATAAAATATCAGAGTAAGTACAAACAACATATTTGATAGTGTCTTTGCAGCTGTGCGGAAAAAGAGAGGAAAAAAATACCACCCCCATTTCCCTCTAAGCTCAAAGTGTCTTAGATAGCACACTCCCTTTGAGTGTGAAGCACGCCTGACATCTCCCAGTGTTTCCCCGACAGATCAAGCCTTTCAGCAGGCGTAGGACTTGAAGCAGATGCCTCCAGCCATCAGGGCCGTCAGGCGGCTAGTTTTCAGGGCCCTATCCACTAACGCCACACACGAGCACAAAGAAATCGCAGTCGGTGTAAGAGGCGCGGCGACATGCTCACATTCACGCTAATGGGAACAGACAGCAGTTAGTCGGAAACAAAGTGAATCACAAAATATTGAGCATGACTGTTTCACAAAATAAATACATTTGGGCTATGGGTATCACAGCGCACAGCTCAGCAGCGAGCTGGAGGGCCAGGAGGGACTTGTAGTCCTAACATCAAACAGCTGATGATTTTTCTCTTCTTCTCTCCTCTTCTCCTCTGGATTAGCTGTGGATTATCAGACGTTCTCTATTGTTAATTAAAAACCTGCCATCCTGGAGAGACTTTGGCTATTTTTAACTAACCCTCCTCTCTTTTCCTCTCCCCATTCCGCTGTGTCTCGCAGCTGACATCAGGTGTTAAGTTTGGCCGTTAAAATATAACTCACAAATCTTTCCGGCAGCTTCTCCTCTTGATTAAATGAAACCGTGAAAAATGAAAAGAGAAAATGTGCAAATAAAAGCAACTGAATGAATTGAAGTACAGCAGGCTTTTAACTTTAACTAGCCAACAAGCTGAGATGTCCCTCAAAACAGTTTTCTAAATTACCCAGATCCTTTTCATCCAAATGATTATGTTAAATAAGACAACTTCCAATGGCAACTGATTATAGGTGGATGCAGCGTTTCCCACCGATTCCTTCAATCTATGATGGTAGCAGGGGTGCATGTGCACAAGCATTGATGTCACGCAAGAGATTCTGATTGACTGAATTGCAGGACGGTAAAAACATAATGGACGCAAGCATGAGCAGCAAATGGCACTGTACACAGCTACACAGATCAGCAACAGAGCAAAACACCAAGTTAGAGATCTCTTGTGTTTTAATGAGAAGTGTAAATAAATATTTGGTTCATTATGAAAGTGTGGCCGGACAAATTAGAATATGTTGGGCCGCCACACTCCATACTTAATGGGAAACACTGCTGGATATATTAAATTATCATTAATGCTCCTCTCAGGCGTTCACCATCTCTCCCACCCCCACCTCCCACTTTCCCATCAACTCCCTCACCCTAATCTTCAACAAGAAATGTGAGGTGCGACAAGAGCAACTACCATAAGGTTGGCTGAAAGTGAAGTGTGCAATCGAAAAGCACTCGTGCAGTGCAATCAAAATTGGCTGGCTGGTGCTTAATAGTACCAAGCCACTTAACACTCATGGTGCTAAAACGGGGCCAAAATGGCAGCCATGGATGGTACTGCTCACATACTGTGTGTATGTGTGCAGGATGTGTTCAACTTAGTATTAGAGTGTGGGCATGTCCACGTGAGTCAGCAATAGATAACATGCTTGCAATAAATGTATGTATTTTGATAACAACCTTCAGGAATGTGGTATTCAGTCACTGTTATATATAATTGATGGTTGTGTATGTGTGTGTAGGGAGTTTAAGCTGGTATTGGCATATCTGCCTGCCCCCACTCCCCATCTTCACTCCCTCTTTGGCGATGCTGAGGGCCTCCAAGGCTGGAAGGAAGAGGAGGAAGAGGGCTGGCATCATTCCCCAGGTGAGTGGGGGAGTTGAGGAGAGACAGTGGGAGAAACAGGGAAAAAGAGGGAGGCATCTGTCTGCAGCTTCAGGAAAGCTCCGGGAGGGAATTCCACCCACCACTTCCAGCCTGCTAAGGAGCAGCTAACAGCAGGGAGCCACCGGCAGACTGCCTGGCTGCTTGGAATCTGCACGGAGGGGCGGGAGACGCAACGCCAACGCACAACATTGGCAGATGTACACACATGGAAGTAAACATGTAATCACTCAATCACAGAGGTACACACACACAAACAAACACAAGGGGTGAATTACATCTTTGCTACAAGACAATGAGGAGTGTTGTGACCCGATCAGTAAATGTTCGGGAGGTGTGAGGGAGTGTGGCTCCATTTAGGAAATGTCAACACTATCATATGCATGCATGCACAGTCACATAGGCCAAGTGACGACTGTAAGCAGTTCTCCATCTGTAACATACAGTATGCATGTAGCGACAGCAGGCAGTGTGGTTGGCTTCCGCCTGTCACAACACCTGCCCTGTCCGCTTCAGTACTCCCCAGCAGGATCAACACTGTATGCAGGCTGCATTTGGATCACTGCATCACAGTGCCCTGCTCTGTTCTGGCTCAGCACACCACAGTTAAGCACAGTTCAGATGCACTTTCAAATGCTTCAGCATTATTTAACCTCGCGTGGAAATGCAAGGATGAGGCCCGCTCAGACTGCTTTGAATGATTAAAACACCAGACAGAATTCATAACCATAAAGTAAAGACGTAGCAAACTTAATATTGCTAAAGTTATCAAGATCAAGGCTGTGAAAGTAATTTTCAGGGTCATATTATCCATCAAAGTTGTTTCACTCATGCTGAATAATACTACTGTCATAACAATTTCAGATAAAGGTTGTAGAAATGCTCTTTCAAACGTAATCATAGGGAATTTTGATACTGTAATGCTTCTTTCAGACAAGCATTCACTTTCAGATTTTTCTGATATTTTCCAAGGGGCTGAATGTGAGAATGCAATTGTCAGTTGCTCAAGACATCTTTTAAAACTTGAAGCCAGCCCCCCAGTAAAAGTATGGATGTGTTAATGACGGACCCAAACTGGAAGGAAATAAAAGAATACAAATATCTCAAATATCAAAGACATTGACTAGGATGTCAACACGGAAAGACGACAAGATTCAGGAGCATTTTATGTTAAGGGCTGACTCCAGAGTGGTTGTGTTGCAAACAACATTTGACCTCTGCAGCAGAATTTATACATCATGTCCTGCCTCCTGCAATCTTTTACATTTTCCTCATTGTAAACATATCTGCTCTAGACAGTCTTTTACTGTCTTCTTCATATGTGAAAGGCAAACTCAATTTTTCTTCCAGAGTAAACAGGAATCGACTACTTGAAACAACACTTTGCCTGAGAGGACTTTACAGACAGACACTGTCTCCTGATAGAGAGTAAAATAACTTGAGGAAGTGCTGCGTCTGATGCAATATAGAGGCCATTAAAAATGCATGATAAATAGCCTCTAATGGGGTTGTAGCTAACAGAAAAAAATCTGCCTTGTGCTGATCAATTAGTTTAATGGATACATTAACTTATATATTTTAATTGTCAATTAAAAGCAAGAACCCAAATGATGCATTGCTCTTCATAATCGCCATTTAATGAGGTTGGATATTCATTTGCCTTTGATTCGTCGGCTGCTCAGTGTCACTCCTGCATAGCGTTTGTAAAGACTTGAGAAAATGCTCGGCAGCATTGAAAAGGGACATTTAAATAAACAATGATGTAAATTTACTGATTGAAGAGGTCTTGTAATTAAAAAATTCCCAAATGGGATTCATGTGTATGGAACTTTAGATCTTTAATAATGATATCAGACAATATGGGTAAAATAGGGGAAAATCCACAACTTAGTCATTAAGTAGTGTATAGGTTTAGGTACCTATGCAATGCAGTTCTTTATCATGATGGGGGGGCCTTTTGTACTATCTGAAAATTGTTTGTATAGGGAGATGGTTTGTGTCCTTTAGTGCTAAAATCACTGCTATTTCTAGTGAGCAGCTTTTTGGCGTGTTGGTGAGGTG